ATTTTCATCCGCAACATTACGTATGAGTAACAATTGTCCAATTACACTCGAATTTGGACGCATTTTAATCGGGAGAATTTCTTCAATTCATTCATGACATTTTCATTAAAATATATTGCAAATTGTAAAAGTTTAAATTTTCATTCGTGCGTCATTCCTTATCTCATCTACGTCTGTTTACATTGTATGCCGATGGGTCGGTCGCTGGCCTTGGACGTTCGGCGAGAATCGAAATCTCGCCACGAGCCGTAGGCCGTAGCTATTCCATCGTTCTCCTCACGGGTAGAATTGCATGCGGGACATGAGGCAACAGCGTCAGAAAAAAGATACTGTCCGGCAACACTGTCTTCGCGTAGGAAATACACAATCCCAGCTTGATGGTAACGCGGAACAAAATTTATTTGTGGGTACTGCCGCTAGATGTCGTATTATCAAGCTGTCCCAAATATCGATTTTGTGTTTCCGCTGGCGTCCGCTTATTTACTACAGCGCTTCGATCGATTCGGAGTTGGCCCCAAAGGAGTCTCCCCCCTTAACAGACCATCGTATATCCCCGCGCCTAAGGTTACGATTACACTGGACGCGTATTCGGACAACTAGCCCGTCGTCCGCATACAGCTAAGTGATGGGTCTAGATTAGGTATATCGATGATACGCACGACCGAATCAAACGCCTCTAAATCCATGGGAGCGGTTATTCTGCACGCGTATCGGTCGTCCGATGTCGCACGCATTCGTCGTACACGAGCGTCAAAACGCACGGGAAATTGCCGACACGACATCACTTCAACCGTTATATTTTAGTTATTTTTCAACATAGGGCTCTGAATTAACGCTCATTATAAAGCTGAAGGAATATTGTTTTCAAGTTTATACACAAAATTTTAAAAACCACTACTAATACTAAATTAATAGAAAAAAAACACTCCTCTTTTGCAACAAAAAATTAACTACATACAAAGTACCAAGTTGAATAGCAAAAACGGCTATGTACATCAATATGAAAAATAACTATTTACCTTATTAACCATTTCATTATTTACTTAACATTATTCCTTAGATTGATGGTTACATTAATATAGTCATTTTTCATATTGATGTACATAGTCGTTTTTGCTATTCAACTTGGTATTTTGTATGTAGTTAATTTTTTGCTGCAAAAGAGGAGTATTTGTTTTTTTTTCTATTAATTTAGTATTAGTAGTGGTTTTTAAAGTTTTGTGCACATACTTGAAAACAACATTCCTTCAGCTTTATAATGAGCATTAAATCAGAGCCCTATGTTGAAAAATAACCAAAATATAACGGTTGAAGTGATGTGTCGGTGATTTCCCGTGCGTTACGCGTTTTACGCGTGCAGTATAACCGCTCCCGTGGATTTAGAGGCGTTTGATTCGGTCGTGCGTATCGATATACCTAACTGAGACCCATCACTAGCCGTGTTCGGACGACGGGCTAGTCGTCCGAATACGCGTCCAGTGTAACCGTAACCTAAGGCAGGGTTTGCTAGCTATCTAGCCTTACTGACGAGTCCACTAGCAGGCCCAGGACGAAACGCTCCCTCTCCTTTCCTTTTCACATTTTTCCAGTCACCAGATTGCCGCCAAAGAAGTAATAGAGTGTATGTATACACTTAAACCAGCATACTGCATATTACATATGTATAGGTTGACTATGAGTAATAGAAACCTATTTTTGATGCTATGGTTCTAAAAATAGTCTCACGCCTATTAAGAATCGTTTTGAAAAACATTTCAGTGTTTCTCTTTACCCACATTTTTCTATTTGAACAACCCGAAATGAATTGATATTTTACGAATTATATTAATTAATCGTATAACATATATGTGTAACTATAATTTTTAATTCTTTTGTATATTTCATACGTATCTACAGTTACATAGAAAACAATCATGTTTCGATAGACTTTGGTAGCTAGCAATATGAGTTATTATCAAATAGGTGTGTAAGATAACTTTTATTCGCTCGGACTATATAAATACGGCAAATCAACAAAAATCATTTTATCAAATATTGGTGAAAATAGCGGTGCTTCTAATGTCCTTTTTAATTTAAATAACTATTAAAAGCTTGGATAATTGAGTATCGTTTACATGATGATTAATTATTTATTAACTGACCGACATAATTTCTCCTAAAGACTGTCAGTGTTAAATTTTTTTTTCATATTGACTTCTAGCACTAACAATTTAATAAGTTGTCCAAAAACGGTTAAAAATAATTACCATGTTACTCTCCAGAAATGAATAGGTTCTTGTATTTAATTTCTTTACTGACACGTTTATCCACTAATGTGAACATTCGTTCATCGCAGTGTAACAATTATTCAATTGAAAGATAGTTCAAATGCGAGGCGTGGGTGGGTCAACTTTAATTGGCTACTTAGAAACACTTTATCAACAGTGAATCAAATGTGGTAAACACTTCGTGTGATAAATGAAGGCGCCTTAATATGTTTTTGAAACTGATTTAGATGGTATTTAGATAATTTTTTGTTGGACAAAAATTTAGTATTATCGCACCCTATAATTAAAAGTGTTATAATTATTTATCGATTGAGAGTTTTTCGTACAAAATAGTATTTGAAGCCCGTTTTGGGACACATCCATACATTTTTCAACTTTAGAACTCCAAATCAAGGTCACAATTATCTCACCCTTAATTCCAAAATGTATAGAATGTTTCGAGTGTTTTTATAGCATGATAAAGGTTAGATTTTATAGAATTAAAATCAATTGTGCTAAATAACATCGGAATTGTACTACTCTATAGATACGAATGGCAGTCTGCCATTTATTTCTTATTAGTTAATCAACAAGTGATGGGAAATGTAAGAATATACATAGATATTTTGAGAACCAGTTACCAAATGTTGATTGTTGTCAGAGGAATTTAAGAAACAAAAATTATTCATGTTTAGTTATGTTTATATTAATTATTTTTATGTCGTCAGATCAACTGTCTACATGTATACAAACTGCATAGCCAATTCATACGGCAAGAAATAACCTTTCACTAAATTTACACGACCAGTTAATTACATATTACTTTTTAGCAACTCATTTAGCGAAAAAATAGCGAAACAAACAATTCCCAGTAAATTGTATGATAAATTAGTATCGAAACTCCGTATGCGAATTTAAAACGTATTGTTAATATTACTATTTTGCTAAATCGGTAACATTGTAAACATGACATCAGACTCCCAAACGATTTGTTAAGTAAATATTCACGAAAACTTTAACAATTTCTATTCTTGACGTAATGAAACCGCTCAGACCGATGCATATAATGAGTTTTCTTTCCTTTCACGTTTGTTATCGGCGGCATTGTTTCGCAGTCAGTCGGCGCCAATGAGGACGCAAAAATGCAAGTTAATCTGTGAGTGCTGATAAGTGTGTAAAGGTATACGAGAATAACCATGGATCTGTATCTATAGTAATATTACGTTTCAAGTTGAACTGTTTCAACTGTTCGTTCCCATTCATTTCAAACTGTTCATTGACCATTAATTTTATCTTTTGCGTAATTTTGTAAGTGCACTGTGTGAACCGCAGTGACGTTGTCATCTTTTGAATCTAGACCCTTGTGCACCGGTCATATTTGTATTACACACGATTAAGTTGCATTAATGAGACGAAGTAAAAAGCTACATCTGTTTCAAGCGAAACAAAACTGTTAAATGGTTTGGTAATTGTTAAGGAATGATCGGAACATGCGTTACCGTACTAAATGTTCCTATAAATAAAATTGATGGCTTTAGTAATTACATACTATATGACCGTGACGTAAAAGTGGCAGACTGAAAATAAATTCTTGTTCAAATATGTCGAGTCAACATTGTGTTAACTTTGGTGCATACAACTCTTTTAGTAAACAACTACGTCAAAGATCACTTTATTTTGAAAATCTGTTGTTTCGTTCGGATCGACAGTTTTTATTTAACCATTAGTATAAGTAATACTTAAGAATCTTCTTAAAAGTTAGTGTTCATTTTAAGAATGTGTTTACTGCGAAATAAGATATTTAAAAATGAAACTAACCGATTTTTAGTCAGTCAAATGCATATTACTCTTTGTGTATTATATCAAATCATGAAGTAATTTGAAATTTAATCGATATAGCTTGTATACCTCGTTGAAATCGATGTCATTTACGTTGAAGAACAAAAGAATTCCTTTATCGCGATGGAAAATGTATTTGAAAGACGTCAACAAGGTAGACTGAAATATTTCATCGATGAGCCAACGCGCCATATTCTCATTCGATATGATTGTGGCTTTCCTCGCGGAGGATCCGGAAGAATTTAACAATCAAAATAAATGTTTAATAAGCGTCAAAGAACACCGTTCATGCATACAATGCGTGGTTGATACGTCAACCAATCGCGTCTCAAATTCTTAATGTCGTTGAACTCACCAGACGGCTCTCAAAACTTCATGATTCCGATCGTAAACAAATTATATATTATAATTACCACGGTGTCAGTATTTACACACCATAATTTCTTTAAACTCAACAGCTAAATAATTAGTTTAAAGCGCATTGGCTACGTGATTAAGAAAATAATCATATAAAATAAAACACTGAAAAGAATATTAAATTACATTAATTAATAGCGAGAAGAATTACAGAAAGCCCCTAGAATGATAGTTTTACTTTCCGTGAATTTGAAATATTATTAGTACAAAACACCAGTAGTTGTATGACCGTAATAGAAAATACGCATGCAGATCGTTCTGGAGATGAAATCAGTATCTATTTAGACGAGAGTTGGAGGCTGAACAAACACGTCTACAAATACCGAACGTCCTCCAGCACGGGACGACCGATCGGAATGTCCTTAGTTGGCGTACCGCTGGAGAACTTCCTCCTTGTTTAACAGCCGATTCGATGGACGAACGATCGTCGGGGCCTCCGATCGCGGCATAACAATAGTAAATGTACGTAATAAACGACCCGTTCGTGATATTGCTCACCTGATGTCGTTCTTCAGGCGTGTTCGTGTAACTCCACGAGGAACCCCAGGCACATTAACGTTCCCGTGCACTACTACGCGGCGGCGACGCAATTCCGCTGAAAACAGCTCACGAAAGCTGACGCTAGAAATCGGTTTCGTGCTTACGGCCGACGAATTTCTGAACTACGTAGCCTGTTGCAGTCGAGCCAGGCGGCAAGTGATACGAGGCAGGAGAAGAGGGCGAGTGGGGCCCAGGGTCGACATCGCCATTGGTCGACTGGGTCGGTCCCTGATATTGCGAGCCGTTCAGGTAAAAATTCAGGTAAACAGGTGGCCGTCGTCGTGCCATCTAGCGGATATCCAGACCAAAACTCCCTCGGGACGACTCCTTGACCAGGCCTGACTAGACCAAAGATTTAAGAATAACTGCGTGCTGCGTGTGCAGTGATCAGAGGAGAACGATACTGATGTTTGTACTGGGGTAGATACTGATGGGAGAAAATTGTTTCGTGTAATCATTTTTTTAATAACGTATCTTTACAATAATGGGATACAGTCTTTTGTGTGGTATGCTTGTTTTCAACATTTGCATAGAGTCTATAAGGAGTATAAAGCAGTCAAAATAGGCGCAAACTTAGTTCATGAACCTTTATGTGTATACGTATACTGTAGTAAGAATATGTGATATAGATGTGTAAAATATTCAGTATTTCTTTTGTATCTCATAGAAAATTCATTATTTTGAATATTTACTTCGAAAACGAATTGTAATGTTGAATAAATAGTGAAGTTTAATAGGTAAGTAAATTACGAAAAATACTTCATTTTGAGGTTGTCTTTTCGTCTTGTTAATTTTATAAATTGTTTGTAACTCAGAAAGTGTAACATGATATATGGTATTTTTTTAAATTATTAAGAAAATTTGTTTCAACAGAAGAGACGTGAACTTTGAACATTAAAACAATAATTAAAATAAAATTTTTAAGCGAATTGAGATTTATGCCAGTCTTTCAATACTCTCACGGTATAGTGCTACCATCTAGGAACGGAATGAGTAACTATATTTACTAGTGGGTGAGTACGAAACATGCCGCAATTAAATTGAAACATTTTTATTTAAATTGGAAAATATATGAATAAAATTTGTAGGGCTTCAATATCTGTTAAATTTTATATTAACCTTGTGAAAAAGTCTACATAAACAATTTGTAGTATGTTAGATAATGAACTATACATACGAATAAAAAAATTTAGTATATATCATTTTTAAATCCTTCATTCAAATTGTAAAAGCATTTGTTTAAGTTCAGAAGAATTGATTACAAAATACAATGTAGGTATACGTATACAATATCGTGCAATGCGTAACACTGTACGTATGTAATTAGGGTTTATGATCATATGTATGTAATTATGTAGCAGCTAGCATCCACTAATACGTAACATTATGAAAGCATAGAATCGTTCTGTCGTTGATCGTATTGCAAAGTTTTTTGTTTCCAAGTCCATTTGAAATTGCAATAGAACTGGCATGCGGTGATATTTTGTTCAAAAGCACATTACAAATGTAAAATCAATTTTTTTTGTACAAAGGCCAGATAGCACATGACACCTTGAAAACGTCCATTTTACGGCTACTTTAGGTCTAAGTCGCCTTCAACGCATCATTAGGCGTCACGTGCTATCTGGGACGTTTGTTTTCGAAACAAGTGATCGGTAATTTGTCTGATACACAAACATTAGATCGTATCATTAATGCACACAGTACGTAGAAACAGTAAGTAATGGAGAAAGACATTAATCAGAACGTATTCAATATATACACGTTAAATGTTCAAATTGAAATTTATTTTCTGTTCTCTAACACAAATCAAGGTAAAACATAACACGAAACTTTGTCTGAAATTATCACTAATATCGATAATATTTCTAATAAATTAATTAATTATATTTGATAAAATGAAATACATAGATCGTATTTGCGAATAATCAGAAGTATTAATGATTACATTGAAATACGTTGTAACTGTTAACGTTATACTTTTGTTAACATTAACGTTTAACAGTATACTTCGATTAATATTTGTTTGTTACTAACTTTGACAGTGATAAGCACACACTCCAGTGTAGGAATATGTACGTACCAAAGTTTAACTTTCATTTTTCACGAAAAAAAATCTAAATTCTATTTTCTTATCAAAAGTGGAAAAGACTAATTCTTGCGTAGACAAGCACTGAAACTTTATTTATACACTGCAGTAATTATTTTACAATTGAGTTTTTATACTTATACAAGAATTTTTGGGAATTTTGGTATCATAATATACACAATTTTGATGATGAAATTTATGGAACAGATTATTACGAATTGTGGATAAATATGCTTTAGTACTGGATTTGAAAATACATGGACTTAAACATTTTGTAGCTTTTTATGCAAGTAAAAAATATTTTTTACTTATTTTTGTAACAGAAGACTATATCACAATCAGTCTGGGGTTTATTATTATACATTTTAAAATATAAAAACAAATTTTGTATATTATTTTGTTTAATATATAGAGCGTCCCAGGTTTTAACAGCCAAACTTTGTCAGTATATTCTATGTATCTAAATAAGATAAAAATTTTATATGTGTAAACATAGGTCGTTCAAAAATTTATTAAAAAAAATTTGACCAAAATATAAGATACGAAGGGAACAATAATGGACTTGCAGTTGCTTTTCCTGCTAGTACTGTTAATAAGTTGTTATTGGACTTCATACCGAAATGTTGCAATTATTTACGAATAAAGAAATCTGAAAAAGAGTTTGAAACTTTGAAGGAAAAAGTGTATCGAACAAGAATGAGTTCGCGTGATGAGTTGATTCAAAAAATTAATAATGCGTTCACTGAAATGAAATAGGTAAAGGAAAAATGAACTTCGTAGTGTAATAAATTTTCGACCACTGTCAATCTTGTATTGTCAAGATCAGTAGACATTTTGAAATGGAGTACATATTTGTAGTTATTATTTATGGGAGTATTAATAAGAGTATTGTGCTACCGTTGACAACCTCGGATGGTAAATACAGTTCACATAACAGTCTATGTACATGGAAATACGTACATATTACTAATTTCTTCCTACATTGTATCGCAGTGGCGGCAAGTCCGTTACTGTTCCCTTTGTATTTCAAATTTTTATCATAACTTTTTAATAACGTTTTAGACGACCTATGCTTATATAACATTTTTTTCTTATTTAGACCCATAGAATATACAGGACGTCCCAAAAATGTTGTGCCTCCTTGAAAGGGGTGATTTCTGAGACGATTTGAAACAACTTCTGCCTTAACGAAAAAGTTGTTTTAAATCACCTCAGGAATCACCTCTTTCAAGGAGTTACGACATTTTTAGGACACCCTTGTATAGACAAAGTTTGTCCGTTAAAACGGGACACACTGTATACTGCAAACACCAGCAATGTCTGTGACGTTCCAAAAAACGGATGCCTAAACGGTGTATATGTATAAAATCTCGGGATCCACTCATCTGAAATAAAAAAAAACATGTGATTCGCGAGACAAGAAACATTCAAATTGCCATCAGTTTCCACACAGTCATTCGGAAAATTGATGTTCAAACAGAAAATTCAAATATGTCGTTGGATTCGTTTTGAAATGCTTTATAACATCTCAATAATAAAAATATGTAGTTCCATTTAAACAAATTGCATTGTTATCAATATTTTATTAAGTTTACTCCATGAAATTAAATAATTTTCATACGAAACATTTTTTTTGCATTTTCAATGGTTAGAGAAATAATAGCGTGTACTAGGGATGTGCGGGTACTCGACATTTCGGACTCTGGTCGTGTTGGTAAAAGTCGAGCGAGCTCGAGCGGGTACCCGAGACATACGAATGTTCGGGTAGGGTAAGTGTAGGTATTACTGTGGATGCCCTGATTACTGCCGATATTTAATGTTGGAAAGTATATAAGCTCTTGCAGATTAATGATAAAATTATTTTAAACTTTATTGCAAATAATTATTAGTAAATATGTAGAGCAAAGTTGTTATTAATTCTTTTATCGTAATTTGAAATTCGTCAAGACGAAGCTTTAATCGATTTCCCAATATGACGGTTCTGAACGTTTACTTGAAAAACATTTATATCTTTGTTATCAACCGTAATACACGTAATGTAGCGTTATTACTCCATAGAGTAAGAGTTCTTTTTTCACAAAAAAAGTACATTATTCATTTACAGTTTATTTTTAATTTTTATTTTTCACCGCAGTGTTAGGTGCAGTACTTTACACCACGTGCGTTTATTACTGCGGACAAGTGACTGCGTAACCTAACCTATTTTCGACCGCATTTATTCATTTAAAAAGTAAAGCTACAGAATTAATGTTATTGAAAAAAAATTAGAATAAACAAAATTTTGAGTTTCATATTGTAATAGAGTAGAGTGGGGAAAAAGTTCGCAGTATGTGAATTTCAATGTTTCTCAGTTATGACAGTTGACGTAGAGTTACCAGCGTGGAATTGCGTAGCTGTGCCGTCGTTTTATTATCGTACAATGCGGTAAGTACTGAATTCACTAGTTTCGATGTAATATTCTTATTTCTATGAATCAATTTTATCCCTATAAAGTGATCAGTACATATGTAAATTAACATGTCGTCTGAAAGAGCTGAAATTCTTCTTTGCAAGAAAAGAAAAGAAAAGAAAACAATACAAACGTAGCTATGGGGACAAGAGTTCGAATGCGAACTTTTGCCCTAAAACAATTTGACGAGTGAGAGTCTCGTGTTGACAGTCGAGCGGTACGCACGTATTTGTATACAATCGCGAGTGCCATAATACCAAGTGCCGGTGTCAGTAAATCACTGAAG